ACACACACTCACTCACTCACTCACTCACTCACTCACTCACTCACTCACTCACTCACTCACTCACTCACTCACTCACTCACTCACTCACTACTCACTCAACTCACTCACTCACTCACTCACTCACTCACTCACACACTCACACACACACACACACACACCACACACACACACACACTCACTCACTCACTCACTCACTCACTCACTCACTCACTCACACAACACACACACCATAAATACACTGAAACTAATGAGATAAATTAACTAAATAACAGGTGAACAGAATGAGTAACTACACTCACTCACTCACTCACTCACTCACTCACTCACTCACTCACTCACTCACTCACTCACTCACTCACTCACTCACTCACTCACTCACTCACTCACTCACTCACTCACTCACTCACTCACTCACTCACTCACTCACTCACTCACTCACTCACTCACTCACTCACTCACTCACTCACACGCACACACTCACACACACACAGTCAGCTGGAATGTGTTAAAGCAAACACACACAGAACAAGAGGGACTGAAAACGACACAATGGAGGAATGAGAGAGAGTTTGAGTCTCGTGTGTTTCTGTGTATTTGTATACATGTGAAACAGACATTTGTCAAAATCTGCCACACTGTGTTAGACACTCTATCCCACAATGCAACGTGCTCAACTTGTCCTTTTATGTCCAGTGTGATGATTTTTACAACTCTTTCTTGACTCATTATTTAACTAAATTAAAGCAAAAGTAATTTGCTGCTCAAGAAATATTTATCATTATTATCAATAATAAAAAGGTTATATTTTTTTTTAGAAACTGTGATACACTACCATTCAAAAGTTTGGGTCAGTAGATTTTTTAAATAATTAATAAGGAATTAATAATTGTATTCATCAAGGATGCATTAAATTGATCAAAAGTGACAGTAAAGACATTTATAATGTTACAAAAGATTTCTATTCTAAATAAATGCTGTTCTTTTGAACTTTCTATTCATCTGTGAATCCTGAAAAATAAAATGTATCACGGTTTTCACAAAGATATTGTGCAGCACGACTGTCTTCAACATTGATAATAATCAGAAATGTTTCTTGAGCAGCAAATCAGCATATTAGAATGATTTCTGAAGATCATGTGACACTGAAGACTGGAGTAATGATGCTGAAAATACAGCTTTGATCACAGAAATACATTACAGTTTAACACATTCACATAGAAAACAGCTGTTTTAAACTGAAATAATATTTAGCTGTTTTTAGTGTAGTTTTGATCAAATAAATGCAGCCCTGGTGAGCAGAAGAGACTTCTCGCTAGTGTCCCATTCTCAGCAGCCATCGTTTCAGGGTTTCTGGGAGTTTGATGTGATTGACAGAGGAACGTTGGGCTCTGATTGGTCCGGAGGGACTTCCTGTAGTGTGTCTGATCCTGATTGGCTGTTGTTTTGTGTTTCAGGATGGCCGCCTCAGTGAAGGTAGCGGTGAGAGTTCGGCCCTTTAACTCCCGCGAAACCAGCCGAGATGCTAAATGTGTCATACAGATGCAGGGAAACACCACCTGTGAGTGCAAACACACACACACACACACACACAAACACATTTTTTGGCCAATACCGATCCAACACCAGCGCTACTTTTTTTCTACACCACTACAGAATATCAATACTGTGTTTGTGGAACTGTGGGAAGAATGAGTCTGGAGCCCTGTATAGGCTATACAGTGCATGAAAAGCAAACTGGTGCTCTTCTGTTTCTTTTGGTGTATGACTCCCCCTTGTCTCGTATAAAAAGCACAATAATCGCGGTTGTCTGAAGACGGTTATTTAATTTTCGCGACAGGCCTATTTCCCAATACGTTTAAGTTGATTTTTACCTTTATAAAGCCATTTTTCTAAAAGTGTGCATTATCTTTTGAGTCAAATTCTTATATTTAATCAGTGAATTAGAATAATAAGACATTTGGGCTGTTACCAAACAAATGAAATCATCAACTAAATTCATCTTTGCAGCGCAGAGGAAACACAGAAGCTGCGTCTGAAGAGGCGTTTAGATGTGTTTACACATTGTTTAATGCAGGACAGGAATGCATTTAACCTGCAATTGCACATGCATTAATAATGTTTTGATATATTAAACAAAACGTTGAATACTGTTATTTGAAAT